CCCAGATTCACCCATATCAACATTTCATTCTATTAGCCTCATCATTTACCACCCCCCCACCCCCCCACCTCACCTCCCTCTTGTGTTTTCTAAACCATTGGAGGGTGGCCTACTTCATAACCCTTTTCCTTCAGCGTGTATTTTGTAAGGATAGGTAGGAATATGCTCTTAGATAACCATGGCAAATTTAACATTGATGCAAAGCTTTAATCTACCAGTAAAGATCTAATCTACAAATAATATTTTTTCTCACCATAAGCTACCTCCCTTCAAATTCTGTTTTGCCAGGTACCTTTTTCTTTTTCTTTCCTCTCTCCAGTCTTCTGCTATCACCCTCATTCTCTCTACTTGTTTTGCTCTCTGTTTTGAAGTCTTTGTTCCATGATTATTTGAATGATTCCTGGGGCGTAAAACACAGGCGTACAGAGATACACTCTTAGAAGTAAAAGCTTTACTTGTAGAGGAAGTCTTTTGTTCCTTTGCCTTTCCAAAAATCAGTGGCACTGTTGTTTCAGCCTTAGACTGTCCTTTTAAAAAACGAATTGTATAGATATTTTTCTGAGGGTTTAACAGCTTTTTTTTTTTTTCCTGCCTTTTTCTCTCTGGTTTATAGTTTCAAAAAGTGCCAGAAGGTCCTATCCCTCCATCCACACCAAAGTTTGCATATGGAAAAGTTGCTCTGAAAAAGGTAAGACATAAAAATAACCTAAACGTTGAGAGTGAGGAAGTGAAATTGAGCAGTTGTGAGTGAAAGTGTTATGCTGGGGAATCGGTTCGTTAATTTTCTGTGAATTTGTTTTCTTTGAGACTGATGGGGTAGATGAAGTTTCTGGGAAAACAGGGACACGGGAGGTGAGAGGATGTGTGTGCATGTTGACAGGGTGAGCAAATAGACATGAGCAGGAGTAGGGAGATGTTCTAGATCATTCAGATCATTTTGGTTCAATTATCAGTTTCCAAAGCAGTCCCAGGAGCCTTGAGGGGATAACATGCCACCTTGTTGTTATGACTGGTGAAGTTCTTTTTTATAATTCACCTTTTTAAAAGGGTTTCTCAAAAGCCACAAGCATTTTGTTAGGTCTTTGCCTTAAATTACACACTCCCATCTCTAAATCATGTCCTAATTTTTGTGATCTGTGGTTTATATGGTGAGTGGGACATCAGGGGAAATGCTAGCAATTAATCATAAATAGGGGTTGAGGACAATTTATTCTAGGAAAAGAGAAAAAAAAAGAGAGATTTCATTTAATAATAATCAGAAGTGATGTAAGCCAAAGTCAATTTGTTTTGACCATCTGTGTCTTCAGGTTTTCCCCTCTTATAATCCCTAACTCCTACATGTATGAACTCACAAGAAAAAAAACAAAACATGAACAGATTTCTTAAGAATCTTGATATTCTAAAATAGCATCATAAGTTTTTATCTTTAAGCAAAATCCTAAACATGATTGTATGATTTTTTTCCATTCATGAAGCCCTTTGATATTATGGTTGTTTGAGGTCTTGTAACATTTTCCACCTAGTGTCAGATACGTGTGTTACATTCTGCAAAGAATGTGGTTGGTCTCTGCCTGATAGGCATCTGTCTTTAGATTAACTGAACTTTAATCACACTTGCAAAGGGAGCACCTTCTACTTGTTCAGTGCTATTGCTACTTAAAGAAAAGCTAGTTTCTTGGTTTCAGAGCTGAGAAATTATTTTTATACAACAGGAAATAACTGCAAATGTTTAATATAACAACGTTGCTAAGACAAATGTAGCTTAGTGCCTAAAGCATTCTGTTTACTGTGGAGGAGAATTGTGTGAGCAGAAATGGCTTTTCATTGTTAACTAAAGACATTCAATTTAATAGAGCAAGTGGGCATATAACCGAATTAAATTTATGTAGAACATAGTTATGTAGGATAAAACCTTTTGCTGTGAGTTGAATTCCTTTAGTTGTGCAAGTGGAAAAACATCCACGTGAGTAGCTGAATTGATAGAATTGTACTTAAGATTTTTCTTCCTCAATGCTGCACATCAGCAAGGTAACCATGCAAGGTGTTTATAAAATTCCTAACCAGTATCATGTCATGGAAAGTCCTGGGTTCGGAGCCACGCCCAACTGCAAATCCTAGCTCTGCCATTGCTCAAGTGAGCTTCTATGGTCCCCCATTTTCTCATCCCTAACTAGGGTGGTTGTGAGGATTCAATGATGTGTAAAGTGCTGTCTCCCCTGGAGCTTGGTAGGTATCCAGTGCTGGGTAGCTGTTATCATTGTTATTGTATGAACAAGCAACCTGGGTTGCCAGAATCCACAACTGTTTGGGTCGAATATAGTATTTGTTGAGTGGCTACTACGTGCTGAGCCCTGGGGGTGAGCACAGTACAGACCCTGCCCTTAAGGAGCTGACAGCCTGACAAGGACAATGAAGGGAAAAAACTGGTGAATGATACAGGCGTGGTAGGTGTGCTTCGGACAAGTTCAGAGGAGGGCACATCACAGTTACTTACTCGGAGGTGTTGGGGAAAGCTTTACTCAGGAGGTAGTCCCAGACCCTTGGTTTTTGTTTCTTTTAAGGGCCTTTTATATACAGGAGGTTGTATTTGCGAGCAGGTACATTTGAAATTCTTTTTAAGATTACCATCTGTTATTTTTCATGAAGTGTTAGGGAATAGATAGTGATGATTGGAGGTGCCTGGGGAGCAGCCGTTGAGTTGAATTTGAACCATTCAGGTTTATTTTGGGGTTTGGTCAAATCCATTCATGTCTTTGATAATTTGCAAATGACATTGTCCTCAACTCTGATGACCAAGAAGAGCTGACAGTGAGTGAATGCTGCTTTTGTTTCTTTTCAGTTAAAGACTGTGGAGGAATCTCTGAACATTCTGTGTCCCAATGGGCCTATAAAGAGCCTTTATCCCTTGACATTTATCCAGGTGAAACAGGTAGGCCTTCAAAGGTAATACTTCACCTTTCTCTACTTGCAAAAATGTGCTTTCTGCCCTGCCTTGCAGTGCCTGTTCTCAGCACAGGATCTAAACAGTAAGCAGATAGATCAGACCCCAAGCAAACTAATCATGGATTTCCAGACTCTCTTTAGCTGTAAGTACTGTATAGTTAGACTGATCTTTCCTTTCTTTTTCTCCCAGTTCTTATTCTCACTCAAATAGGTAGTAAGTAGCTCAGTCTGCTTCAATGTAATTCTGCGCAGGCTATAAATTGAATGCATCTCTGATCTAATTAATCTTTATTACTAGGTACCAGTGGAAAACCACGATTTTAATACTCAAAAAAGACAATTTAATTATTTGTCCTTAGCTAAAAGGTATAGAGACTGTGTTCTTAATAGATTAAGTTCTTAGAGATTCTTTTTCTTAATTTTGAAGACAACAGAAAACAGAGCACATTCTGTGTGTGTGTGTGTGTGTGTGTGTGTGTGTGTGTGTGTGTGTGTGTGTGTGTGTGAGTGATCTCCAGGCACTGCCTCATCTTTCTTTTAAGAGCTTTTCCAACTTTTAATTTTGGAAAATTTCAAATCTATAAAAGTTGCAAGAATAGCACAACAAACACCAGTATCACTTCCACCTAGAGTCACCAAGTTTTAACAGTTGCTTCACTTGCTTTATCTTTCTATGTATGTATGTAGTCACCTGCTGGTTTTTGTTTTTGTTTTGTTTTTTTAAAACATTTGAGTTAGTTGTCAACATCATGACACTTCGCCCCTAGATACGACCAGCATATCTCTTTGAAAAAGAAGGACATGTTCCTACATGACCACAATATCATGATCACACTTAAGAAATTTAATACTGATGCAATCCAGTTATCTAATATACATTCCGTAGTCAAGGATCCCTGGTCATTTCAATAATGTGCTTTATAGCTTAACTCTTTTTCAATACAATAGCCAATCCATGATCACTCATTACGTTTAGTTATAATGTTTCTCTAGTCTTTTTTCATTGGAAACTCTTCCTGAGTGTTTTTCTCTCTCTCATGACATGAACATTTCTTAAGAATTCGGGTCAGTTGTTTCACAGACCACCCCTCCCTGATTATATTCAGTAAAACATTTTTGGCATAAACACGACAAAGGTGATGTGACCTTGGGGCACCATATCAGGTCAGTTTGTCCCTTTGTTGCCATGTTAAGTTCCCTCACTCAGCATTTCAGCCCCATTTTCTTGAACTGGAAAGTTATCTGGGCCCTCTTCTCTGACTTTCTGTAGAGATTGACTCCTGGAAGGTGTCTGAAAACTAAGGTGATATAATAATAACATATCTTATCTCAGTTTAGTGTGTTTTGCCTCCAGTTACTATTTCTACACTTGTAGAATTTTACAAGAATGTTTATTCCAACAACTGTGGTTTGTGATAAATAAAATGAATAGTTAAGTTCCTCCACCCATTACTTTTTCTTTAACCTTGGCTAGAGTTCCTCCTTTCGCTCTGGCACACCCTGGCTGTATGGCCATGTCTTCATCTGTAAAATAGAACCTGCCTTCTCCACCGAGCAGGGCCATTGAGCATGTCAGGCAAGACGAGGACACTGGAGCCGCTGGGACCTGGGAAGTGGATTCCGGGTTAATGTATAGACACTGGCAGTCATTGTTCTTTCTCAGACCCCTTCTGCTTTCTGACCCTTGACCAAGGCAGTGCTCTTGGATCGGATGGGGCTCCCTGGGCCCTGGCTGTTTTGGGTCTGGAGCAAGCCCACGAAATGTTCATTTCCAGTGAAACCCATGAAGAGCACAAGTGCAGGGAGTGGGGTGCAGCCCTGGCATCCCTGCAGCTGCCCCCCTCTGCCACAACCAAGGGGCCTCAGCCACACCTTGGTAGGGTGCATCAGAGTTTCTGCTCCCCTCTGCGAAGCCCTTCGCAAAGGTTCCCTCACCCTCTCTGAATTAGGACTTACCCCTTTGGTTACTTTCAAAAGAGAAAGATGCAGATTTGGGGTCTGGTAGGGAGGCATCCTGTGCTTAATGGTTTGGGTGGTGGCACCAATGGTATTTCTTGAGTTCAGCCCTTTTCTGCAATGCAGGAATGCAGGTTAACTTTTTTTTTTCAGCACTTCCAAATCACCTTCCCACTTGCCTGAAGTGCACTTCTTTGCTTTCCAAGAACTAGATGTGAGGACCTTCTTCTCTGTTCCATGAGGGGTTTCCACCTGGATTCTTTTCTTCGACTCAGGATTGGCCCAGCTCACCCCCACTAATGTCCACAGCAGGGACATCACCAACAGCCTGCGACGGCTGTTGCTGCCAAGGCTCATTGTTTGGGGCCCTCCTTTCAGACCAGGGGTACCAGCACCTAAAAGTTTTCTGACTTAGCAGCAGGTTACAGCCCCATCTCTCACTGTCTGTGTTTCCCCCACTCTCCCACTTTAAACAGTTTCTGATTGACTCTTGTTTTGTATGTTAGAGCAGATTTAGCCCAAGAACCTGGAGAAAGTTCTACTGAACATTCTTGACTTCGTTGTTATTTCTGTATGTGTGTGTTTTGTTTTATTTGTTTGTTTGTTTGGTTTGGCTTGGTTTTCTTTGAGGTAACATAACCTTTTTTATTTTATTTTTTTAAAGATTTTATTGGGGAATCGAGGGAGGGGAACAGCTTTGGGGAATCAGGGAAGGGGAACAGACAAGTTGCTGTCCTTTTGTTCTTCAGTCTACTTGTGGAGGATGTTGCTTCACTGGCCCATGTTGGTATTATCTTTGCACTCTTCGCGGCTGAGGCAGCCGCTCACCAGCCATTGGACAGCCGCTCACGGTGGCTCACGGCAGCCTACACCATCGCTGGCGACTCACAGCAGCCCAGCTCTAGGTTGAGCTGTTGTTCACCATCTTAGCTGTAGAAGGCTCAGCGTCACTGGCCCTCATGTGGGATCCGAACCGGGCGGGGCCCTGCTGCTCATAGCTGGCATTCCAAGCCAACTCTTAAACAACGTGCCACTCGGCCGGCCCATAAATAACCTGTATTAAAAAAAACTTTTTAATTTGAGAACAGCCATGGTCATTGGTTACACATTGCTTTTATGCTACAATGGCATAGTTGACTCTTTTAGGGAGGGCACAGTTCACAGTGGCCCATGTGGGAATCGAACCAGCAATCTTGGTGTTATCAGTACCATGCTCTAACAAACTGAGCTAACCGGTCACCTAGGAACCTCTTGATGTATGTGATAGGATCCCCCTTAGTGGTTCTCGGCAAACCACTGAACACGTGCCAGGGTCCCATTTCCTCATGTGGGGAAAGGATGTTTAATAAAACACTCTTCAGGGCTCCTTGCAGTGAACTACTGTGATTGTTGTTCTATGATCTGAAAATTTAAGCCAGTTCCCTTCTATCACATTGAATTTTTCCTGGAGGCTGGGGAAGCATTTCATTCCTAATCGTTTTTAGAATCGTCACTTTCCGACAGATCAAGGGTGACCAAGTTCTCTTAAAATGAACAGCAAAAGTGATGATTTTTTTTCTTTTTCTTGCATCCTTTCTAACCAGTATTTTGGGTTTGTGCTGTACCGAACAACACTTCCTCAAGACTGCAGCAACCCAACCCCCCTCTCTTCATCCCTCAGTGGAGTCCACGACCGGGCCTATGTCTCTGTGGATGGGGTAAGAATTGTCTCTGAACTGTGTGTGTCTGCCCCAACAAGGGGATGTGTGGTCTGAACTTGGTAACTTGCCACTGAGACCTTTGCCCACTTTTTCAACCTCAGGCTCCATCTGTCCTCTTGCTGTCCCTTAGCTCTGCCCCTCACTTGCTGACATGGCCTCACCCAGGATCCATCTGCCCACAGCCATCTTAACTTGTAGAGCTGTGCTCAAGGCCCCACCTTCTCGGAAACCTTCCTGGTTTCCCCAGGCCAAGGCCATCCTCTCTGACTGACCACAGCATTTCACCCTTGTCTTCTTTGCTCCTGGAGGACAGGGTCTATTCTGTATATGCCAGAGTGGTGATTCATTTAACTTTGTGCCTTCATCCTGCATAAGAAATTATGTTCTGAAGGATTGTTTATGATAATTATAGCTAAAATGCATAAAGGACTTTGTTAAAGATACATGGTAGGATTTCCATTCCTCTCGCTGAAATATTCGTGTCAAAGAACACATGAAGAGATTTTTCCTAACCAAAAACTTTGTTCAGAAAATTTAAAATTAAACTATTTCCATTCTATTGTCGTTAGTGGCTTTATTTTCAGTGGGAGCAAGTTTCCAAGACATGGTGTACATACTGATGGCGATTGTTTCTTGAATTCCAATTTAGGAGTTATGGTAGTGAATTATGGTCAGTCATATTAATTTTGTTTTAAACCTCGTCTTTTAAAAAATTCGGACTATGTTGCTGCTAAAATGCCTCCTGTTTTCCCTCTTTCTATTATATAATTTTCGTGGTTAATGCATCATGTCAGGTATTTTGAGGTAAGAATACTCCACCTACTTCTCTGATTTTTATCTCATTTATCTGATTTTGTCTCATCTCACCATGTTGTTTAGAAGCTATATTTTTTTTAATGACTGCCTTTTTGTGCTGTGAGAACACAAAGTGTTCCTGTAATAGGAATCCTCCCCTGGAGTCGTTGGCTTCCATTCCCTTTCTAGTAAAAATAGATACGAAGCAAAACATTTCAGAGTAGAGGAAAAATCTAGACCTTTCCTTGCTCGGAGCTGTGTCTGGCGACTTTTCTACTTGGAAAGCAGTGATTGGCAGAACTTGGCCACCTGGCCAGTGACTTGGACTAAGGGGCCATCAAAGCATTTCCTCCCAATTCTGGTGACACTTCAAGGTGGCCAAATGAGTACTGAGTTAACTGAGCAAACTGCCTCTCTGCCAATCTGTTCACCCTAGTTAATTCTCATTTGGCATTGAACCCACAGGTCCCCCAGGGAATTCTTGACCGAAGCAATATGATCACTCTGAACATAACAGGGAAAGCTGGAGCCACCCTGGACCTCCTGGTGGAGAACATGGGCCGCGTGAACTATGGTGATTACATCAACGATTATAAGGTAGGACAGGCCTTACTGGTAGGAATCAGGTTCAAAGGTTGGCAGGATTGTTGCCTAAGCCATCTGAGAAAGTTTTTGTAAATCTATTTAAGAACTCTCACATATACATTCTTTCCCTCCAGCCCTGTTAACACAGAAGAAATTCTTAAAAGCACACACACTTTGTCAAATTTGATGAGTGAACCTACCCTGATTTGTTTTGCAAAGTAGAAGTTGGGTTATTTTGAAGACCTGTTTTCCTCTGCAGGTGATGAGAAAGTTGAACTTTGCAGACGGAACCCTTCCCTTGTGTTTGAGTTCAGTCATCCTACAGAAGGAAACAGAAGGAGGAAACTACTCCGCTGTGCTTTTCCTCTGCTTATAAAACCCACCTAGTTCTTGAAAGGCACTCCCTTACCAACAAAGCCTACTTAGCGTTTGGTCTGTTCTGTTTTCTGTTCAAAGCCTTGGTGCACTGCCTCTCGCCTCTGTTGGTTACTCTGTGCCCAGGTGTCTTATCCAAATTTGTTTTTCTCACACATATTTTTAGAGCATTACTCGACAAACATTTGCTAAGATCATACTCTGTGCAAAGTGTTCCATGAGGTGCTTCAAGGGATACAAAGATGTTGAGATAGTTCCATGGGTAGCTCACCATCTGCTAGAAGGGGGAAAGCTTGCACCAAGGGAATTAGGACACCAGCTGGTCTAGGACAAGACAGGTATCTGTGGCTATTTCCTGACCCTCTAGGTGACAGTTCAGAGACTGTTCTGAGTAGCGTGATGAAGTTTCATGCCATCCCACTCCATCCTGCCTAGGACATGAGTCATCCCTTTACCTAATGTATCCACACCGTGTACACTACTGCCTGTCAGTCACTTAGTAGTCATCGCGGTTGTCCGATTGACTGTCGCAGTATTGCAGTGCTTATGTTCACATAACCCTCATTTTACTTAATAATGGCCCCAAAGCATAAAAGTATTGTTGCTGGCAATTCAGATGTGCCCAAGAGAAGCCATAAAGTCCTTTTAAGTGAAAAGTATGTGTATATAGGAAAATACATAGCATATGTAGGATTCGGTACTATCTGTGATTTCAGGCATCCGTTAGGTCTTGGAACATAAGCCTCTTGGATAAGGGGAGACTACTGTATCAAACTATTCTCACTTATGTCATCTAACTTAGTCCTTACAACAGGGGAGTGGACTCAGATGTGATCATTCCTATGAGTGCTGCTGAGGAGCTCAAGGTCAAGACTTGCCCTGGGGTATATGTCAGATTCTGCCCCTCCTTTCATCTACAATAGGCTGAATGTTCTTTTGCATCCCTTAGGTTTCATCTTCCATTCTAGCAATGGCTCTGAATCAAACACTGAAGATTGGGGATTTGGGGTCAAAAGCTCTAGTGGCTCAATTCTCTTTCAGTAGAGGTAGAGCCTTTTGTGGGGACCTCCTGGCCTCCAAAGGAAAGAGAAAGCTGTGGTTTGGGAAATGTACCTCTCCCCAAGGAGAATTGATTTCTCCTCAAGCCAGATCTATGTGAATTTGATATACACACAGTTTGAGTCTTGTTTACTGTTGCTGTTTCATATCCCAATCTGTCTTTCCCAGGAATTCAGGGCTGGAACGCAGAGACACTTAAACCCTTTTCCTTCCCACCCCAGCTCATTGCCCTGTTTCTCCTTTGCAGGGTCTGATTTCTAACCTGACCCTCAACGCCAGTATCCTGACAGACTGGACGATCTTCCCGCTGGACACTGAGAATGCAGTGCGCTACCTGAGGGGCTGGCATGGCAATGACAACAGGTGCTATGGTATAGCCTGTGCCCACGACTCATCTAACTACACACTTCCGGCCTTTTATGTGGGGAACTTCTCCATTCCCAGTGGAATCCCAGACTTGCCCCAGGACACCTTTATCAAGTTTCCTGGATGGACCAAGGTACATGCATTCATGGAAAGTGTTTGAATTCAAGCCTCAAATATCTGGTTTTTAGTGTCTGAGAAAGAATCCAAAAGTGCTTCTCATGAAATGCTGTGTGGCAGTTTTGGGAGTAGAGGGTTTTCTGTGTTACTTTACCCATTCATTGGGAACGGGACCAGGGATTCAATGGCCAGCTTGGCGGTGGCAACATACCCCATTTTCATTGACTGACAACTTCCTTTAGTGAATGACAGCTTTTCTGCTTCCTCTAAGAAAAACCGTAGCCCATTTGGATACTGATTATGAGGGACATTCCTTTTTATCCTGAAGAAAATCTGGTCCAGGCAAAGAAGGGAATCCTAAGAAGAGCCTGTTTTTCTTTCATCCATGCCTAACTTCATACTCCCATAACACTCCACTTTCATGCACCCCTGTGCCCTTGGGGCTTCCATCTTTGCCAACATGGTCCTCAACTTTGTCTTGGCCACTTTACTGCCCAGTCACTCTCTTTTATTCTTTGAAAACATTGGCATGTCTTCCTTCACTGTCATTTTCTCCACTTCAAGTCCCATTTTCATCCTTGATGACCATACCATCATCCAGTTATTCGGTCAACAAAATTTTTCCAGTGGCTACTATATTCCCAAACTTTGTGCCAGGCACTAAGGATATAATAATGAATAAAACCAGATGTGGTCCTTGCCTTCATGGAACTTACAGCCAAGTTGGGGAGAAAAACCAAGTTAGATAATTACCAAAATTAAGTGGTAAAACTACAGCTACAGTGGATGCTAAGAAAAGATATTGGGAGTCAATAATTATTGGGGCATTTGATCTTGTCAGGGAGGTCAGGAAGGCTTCCCCTGAGGAAGCGATACGTGAGAGACATGAAGGATAAGGAAGAATTAACATGGCAAAAAAGGAAGAGGAACATGTTCCAGGCAGAGGAGATGTTGTGTGCAAAGGCTACGTGGTTAGAAGGGAAAATGGCGAGTGTGAGGAACTGATGAAGGACCCAAATGTATGAGACACAGAGAAAAGGGCATGTGGTTCAGTGGAGTGAAGCATCTGCAAGGCAGATTGCATGCTCTCGAGGAGTGTAGGGTAAGGAAACGAACACATGAACATAAATATGGATACTTGAGGATAAGCATCCTTTCTCAAAAGTTTGACTCTAAAAAAGAAGAGGAAAAAATATGTTAACAGCTAGAAGAGGACATAAGATGCACATGGAATGTGTTTAATAAATGCACTTTTATATTTTTTGCTTTTTAAATGCTTATGGAAATACAGTTCCATTATCAATTTGTTTGAATATTTTCTAATTTCACAGGGAGGTCTCTTCTTTGACCCATACATTATTTAGAAATGTGTTGTTTAATTTTCATGTATTTGTGGGGGGCATTAGCATATTTTATTTTATTGATTTCTAACTTAATTCCTCTATAAAAGTTCTACAAGAAGGAGAAAAATCTTTATGACCTTGGGTTAGACAAAGACTTCTTAGATTTGACACCTAAAGCATGAGTCTTAAAGGAAATTTTTAATTATTTGGACCTCATTAAAATTAAAAATGTTTTCTCTTCAAAAGAAATCATTAAGAAAATGAAAATCCAAGCCACAAACTGGGTGAAAATATTTTTAAATCATATATCTAACAAAGGACTTGTATCTAGAATATGTAAAGAATATATAAAGAACTCAATAATAGGAAGACAAACAACCCAAAGACAAACAACCCAATCAAAAAATGGACAAAGGACTTGAATAGACATTTCACCAGAGAAAATACACAAGTGGCTGATAAGTACATGAAAATATGCTTAACAGTTAACATCAGCAATCATTATTGAAGTGCAAATCAAAACCACAATGAAATACTACTTCACACACACTAGAATGGCTCTAGCAATAAAAGATGGACAATAACAATTGTTGGCAAGGATGTGGAGAAACAGGAACCCTCCTACATTCCTTGTGGGAATGTAAAATGATGCAAACACTTTGGAACACAGTTTAAAACTTTCTTCAGGTATTTAACATAGAATTACCATTGGACTCAGTAATTCTCCTACATATATAATCAAGAGAAATGAAAACACATCCACCCAAAGACTTATATGTGAATCTTCGTAGCAGCATCATTTATAATAATCTAAAACTGGAAATAGTTCAAATGTCCATCAACTAATGAATGGATCAATAAAATGTGGTATATCCAGACAATGGAATAATATTCCACCATAAAAAGGAACAGACTACTGATACATGCCTACACCATGGATAAATCTGAAAAACATTATGCTAAGTAAAAGAAACCAGACATAAAAGACCACATATTGTCTGATTTCATGTATATGAAATATTCAGAAAAGGCAAAGCTATAAAAACAAAGTAGATGAATGTTTGCCTAGGGCTGATGATGTAAGTGGGCAGCAACTGCAAATGGATATGGGGTTTCTTCTGGGGGTGATAGGAATGTCCCAGAATTAAATTGTGACAATGATTCCACAGCCTTCTTAAATTTATTGAGACTTGTTTCATTGCCTAGCATATGGTATATCTTGGTGAGCATACCTCTGGAATTTTAACCTCTAATATCCTCTCTCTGGCCACATGTTTCTATCCCCGCAATTTTCATGCCTCCCAAGCCTGCTGTTGGATCTTACTGATGACCTGAAACTCTCCACCATTAATGCTGCAGCTCCTTCCTATACAGCCCAGACATCACCACTATCCTTTTTTAAGAGCCATCAACTCACTGGCTCCCTGGCCCTTCTATCTGTCTCCTCGTTCATCTTCCATCTTGAGTGTGTCTACCATTGGCCTTTGCTGGTTCACCAGTAATTAGGCACTGCTGGGGGAACCTCTCCAGCCCATTCATCAGAGCCACAATCCCCTCACTGTCTCCAGCCTCTGGAGGCCCTTAACTTTCCCAGCAGTCCTTGGTTTGTCCCTTCCCCCCTCCGCAGCTGGCCTTTCTAACCTTCACCACTCTCCTTAAGCCACCTTACTTCTCCTCCCACCTCCTAGCTGAGGACTCACCCTCTTGACTGCTATCAGGTGTAACTCCTTTGTTCCCTCTGTTTCCTGTCAGACTTATCTCTCTGCCTCCACCCTCACTTCCTGCCCAGTGGCCTCTAGGAGGAAGTCTAAGCTCTGAATCCCCTCCCCACCTTCTTCCTCCAGACCAAGAACCTGTTCACATACTTTCTCCTCGGGCATTTGTCAGCCTTTCCGTCTTCTTTTCCAAGTCCTGGGTTGCAGCCAAGCAGTGATATCTAGGGTCTCTAGGACCTAAAAACAAAGTAAAGCCCTCCCTGGATGTTCCCACTTTAGCTAGCAGGCTTGATCTTGTTCCCTTGTTCCCTCTTTTTCTCCCCTCCTTTCTTTTCCCCTTCTCCCTCTTGGTGTCCTGCTGTGTCATATCTCTCCCTTGTTCATGCTTTTTCATTCCCTCCCTCTGCCCACCTGGCCATCACATATTCATCTGTCAAGACTGGTATTAACTTCTCTATGAAAACTTCCTAGACCCTTAGTCCAGGAAAGAACTGGGCTCATTCTCCTTTAGGACCCTCTGTGCCTACCTGGACTCAGCACCATGATGCTTCATCGCACTTAGATTGGCACCTAGGTCTCCTCCACTGGGTCATGAGGGGCATTTTAAAAACGTGCCCAGCTTATTCACCATCCTGCCCTCCTTCTGCGCCTAGGTGCTCTCGTTTGCTTTCAGGTGAACGGGTGCACAGATACCTGTGTTGCTGAGCCTCTGAGAAGAAAGCAAATAGGCAAAGTGTAGGCTCTCAGGCAGTCTTGTTAGTGATGAGGGGCTTTGGCTGAGTGCTATGGATACAGTGCCAAGGCAGATGAGAAGACTCAAACACAAATCATTGCTCACTAAGCGGTGTCAGCTTAGTGTCTTAAGAGAAAGCTTTCTGGAGATGCAAAGCAGAAAGACAGCATATCTGTTATAGGAATTATGAGAAGGGTTGGGTAGCTTAGATAGAGCTTGAAACAGACCTGAAGGATGGAAGGCCCTTCCTTCATCAGAATCAGAGGGAATTTCGTCAAGGAAGGAATTTCAAGTGGGAGAATAGTAGAAGCAAATGTGCAGTAATAGAAAAGCATGGGACGTTGTGGAGGTTAGAGGGGGTTCATCTTGGCCAGGTCATAAAGGTGTTACACCCAAGAGTTACAGACCCAGGCGTTCTGCTCGACACTTGAGAGACATTATCTCCATAATCATCAAGAGTGGCAAATGTGGTAGGATGCTGTATTATTTTCTTTAGTTCGCAGATGAGCAGATAGAGGCTCAGAGAGCTAAGGATCTAGTATGAGGTACAGAAGTAGGTGATGGAAAGCTCCCTGAGCCCTAAGTCTGTGTGACTTGAAGGCCCACATGAAAAGCCAGGCAGCATTATACAAGGCCTCAAAGGCCAACGAGGAGCTTGTGCTAATTTTTAATCTAGGCAGGGGCCCTTGACTTATTCCATCAATCTAATAAATGTTCTGCACCTTCATGCTTAAAAAGGATATATACACACAATATGTGTGAATGTGTCAGAGAATTCAGGACCTCCAAAGCCCACCTAATCCATATATGCACTCAAAAACTAGTACACAAATGTTCACACCAGCATTATCCAAAATTGCCAAAAGGTGGAAAAACCCAAATGTCCACCAACTAGTGAGTGAGTAGACAAAATGTGGCATACCCATAGAATGGAATACCTTGCGGCAATGAAAGTAAATGAAGTACTAATGCATGTTGCAACATGGATGAACCTTGAAAATATGTTAAATGAAAGAAGCCAGTCATAAGACGTATATATGGTATGATTCCACTTATACGAAATATCTAGAATCAGCAACTCTATAGACACAGGAAGATTGGTGGTTGCCTAGAGCAAGGAAAGGGGAATGTTGGGGAGCTGAGGGCGGGGCATAGGGAATAACTGCTTAAAGCGTGCAGGGTTTCTTTTTGGAATGATGAAAATATTCTAAAACTGATTATGGTG